CTCCCTCCCCACCCCCTCCCCCTCCCTCCCCACCCCCTCCCCCTCCCTCTCCCTCCCCACCCCCTCCCTCCCTTCATGCACAACATTCCCCACCTCCCCCCTCCCCACGCCCTCCCCCACTCACTCCACCTCCATCCTCCCGGCCCCTACTTCCCACTCCCCCTCTCATACTCCGCCACTACCCTCACACCCGCTCCACGGTCCCCGTTCTTGGTACCCCAAGGTCCACCCCCCCCTCCCTCCAGTCTCTCACATCCATCCCCCTTCTCCGCCACCATAGCACCTCCCCTCTCCCCCGCACCAGCCCCTCAGGTTCTCTCAGCAGTCGCGCTCCCGTCTCCCTGCCCCTCACGGCAACTCAGCGAAGCCGAGCTGCAACGCAGCTGTCTCCCCACCCCGACCCTCAGCGCAGCAGAGCACCAGTGCAGCTGTGTCCACGCATCAGCCCGACCCTCCAGCGCAGCTGTCTTGCAACTCCACCGCCTCCTCTTCCTCCTCCTCTCACTCCGGACCTCCTTGAAGACTCTCACGATGAGCTTCTGTTCCTCCACCTCCTCTCACCCACCATCGCCCCCGTCGTCCGCACAATGGCTGGCACCACTGTCCTTCTCTTCTCCACCACCCCCACCATCTACGAACCCACCACCTATGAGCAAGCATTTGCCTGTCTTGATGCACCTCTCTGGATCGAGGCCATGGTCAAGGAGAGCAACACCTTCATCAGCAACCGCTCGTTTCTCGACGTTCCTCGTCCCTCCAAGCACAATGTGGTCAAAGGCAGGTGGCCTTTCCGAGTAAAAATACTCCCTGGCGAAGCTCCGGTCTACAAGGCTCGATATGTGGCAAAAGGCTTCACACAGACCTATGGCTCAGACTTCTTCGAGACCTACTCACCCACCGCCACTCCACCGGTCATTCGCGTGTTTTTTTACTTTGTTGGCAGACGCGGGATGATTCTTCACTCCATGGACGTCACCACCGCCTTTCTGCAAGGCGACCTTCATGAGCTCATTTTCCTGGAACGTCCCAAAGGCTTTCACGCTCCTCACGACCCTACCACTGTTTGGAAGTTGCTACGCCCTGTCTACGGGCTCAAACAAGCACCTCGGGAATGGCACGCCAAACTCTCCTCCACCCTCCGCGCACTTGGCTTTCGCCCATCCCGTGCCGCCTCCTGCCTCTTCCTGCGCCTCACCCCATCACCCTTCTTCATCCTCGTCTACGTCGACGACATGCTGCTGGCCGCTGACACAGCTGCTGACCTCCAGGAGGTCAAGGATGAGCTGCAGAAACGACTAGCCTGCAAAGACCTGGGGGAGGTTCGCAACTAACTCGGCATGGAGATCACTCGCGACCTCACTGCCAAGACTATCACCCTCTCTCAGTCTTTTTACATCGAGAAGGTTCTTGAGAGGTTTGGCATGAAAACATGCAAACCCATCCCCACACCACTTGCATTCGGGCATCGGCTCTCCCCCCCCACCACTTCCGTCACCTCCCCTCATCCCTATGCAGAACTTGTTGGGGCCCTGATGTACGCCATGGTCTGCACTCGTCCCGACCTTGCATACCCAGTCAGTGTTCTGGCGCAGTTCGTTGGCACCGGCAGGCATGGTGAAGAGCATTGGAAGGCGGCCATGCGTGTTCTTCGCTACCTTCAGGGCACAAAGGACCATGTTCTCACTCTTGGTGGTGTGAACCCGCCTATTCTTCAAGGCTTCAGCGACTCATCTTGGGCCGATGCACAGCCCGACCGTCGCAGCTCTCAAGGCTATGGCTTCACACTCGGGGGTGGCCTCATCAGCTGGCGCTCCACCCGCTCCTCCTCCGTCGCCCTCTCATCCTGCGAGGCCGAACTGTACGCGGTCACGATGGCGGCTCAAGAGGCACGTTGGCTCAGCTATCTGCTCACCGACCTTGGCTCCCCACAGCCCTGCCCACCCTGTGGTGTGACAACGACAGTATCATCCACCTCACCAAGGAAGCAGTCTTTCATGGTCGCTCCAAACACATTGAGCTTCGCTACTACTTTGTTCGCGACCTTGTCCAAGATGGTCACATCATCGTTCGCAAAATTGCCTCCTCCAACAACCTCGCCGATCTCTTCACCAAGGCTCTCCACCGCTCTGACCACTCTGCGCTTTTGCGTCTCCAGGGACTTGCTCCCCGCGGTGCCTGATTCAGGGGTTGTTGCTCTCTCTCTTCCCAAGCTTATGGATTTCTGTAGGTTAAGGGGTTGTGTCAGATTACCATCCTCATTGTAACCTACATCAATCCTATAAGCTTAGATTAGAGATAGCCACCCAAACTTAGTTTGGGTGTAGAACTAGGGCTAACCCTAGTTGGGGGTTGGAACTCAAACCTTGGCCCCCAAGGTTGGGTTGGGAATTATTGGTCCCCCCAATAATGTTGAACCACTTGGTCAACATTATTGGTCCCCCCAATAATCCCTCAACCCAACTTATTGGTGGGCTCTGGCTTGGTTCCAACCACCCCCCCCCCCCCTTTTAGCACTACTATGTATACCCCCATCTCTCCAAATGAAACTAATGGTTCTTCCTCACGTTTTCTCACAGTGAGATGAGAGGAGAGCGAGGGGAGAAGGGAGAGAGTGTTGTGAGATGAGAGGAGAGCGAGGGGAGAAGGGGGAGAGTGTTGTGAGATGAGAGGAGAGCGAGGGGAGAAGGGAGAGAGTGTTGTGAGATGAGAGGAGAGCGAGGGGAGAAGGGGGAGAGTGTTGTGAGATGAGAGGAGAGCGAGGGGAGAAGGGAGAGAGTGTTGTGAGATGAGAGGAGAGCGAGGGGAGAAGGGGGAGAGTGTTGTGAGATGAGAGGAGAGCGAGGGGAGAAGGGGGAGAGTGTTGTGAGATGAGAGGAGAGCGAGGGGAGAAGGGGAAGAGGGTTGTGAGATGAGAGGAGAGCGAGGGGAGAAGGGGGAGAGTGTTGTGAGATGAGAGGAGAGCGAGGGGAGAAGGGGGAGAGTGTTGTGAGATGAGAGGAGAGCGAGGGGAGAAGGGAGAGAGTGTTGTGAGATGAGAGGAGAGCGAGGGGAGAAGGGGGAGAGTGTTGTGAGATGAGAGGAGAGCGAGGGGAGAAGGGAGAGAGTGTTGTGAGATGAGAGGAGAGCGAGGGGAGAAGGGGGAGAGTGTTGTGAGATGAGAGGAGAGCGAGGGGAGAAGGGGGAGAGTGTTGTGAGATGAGAGGAGAGCGAGGGGAGAAGGGGGAGAGTGTTGTGAGATGAGAGGAGAGCGAGGGGAGAAGGGGGAGAGTGTTGTGAGATGAGAGGAGAGCGAGGGGAGAAGGGGGAGAGTGTTGTGAGATGAGGGGAGAGCGAGGGGAGAAGGGGGAGAGTGTTGTGAGATGAGAGGAGAGCGAGGGGAGAAGGGGGAGAGTGTTGTGAGATGAGAGGAGAGCGAGGGGAGAAAGGGGAGAGTGTTGTGAGATGAGAGGAGAGCGAGGGGAGAAGGGGGAGAGTGTTGTGAGATGAGAGGAGAGCGAGGGGAGAAGGGGGAGAGTGTTGTGAGATGAGAGGAGAGCGAGGGGAGAAGGGGGAGAGTGTTGTGAGATGAGAGGAGAGCGAGGGGAGAAGGGGGAGAGTGTTGTGAGATGAGAGGAGAGCGAGGGGAGAAGGGGGAGAGTGTTGTGAGATGAGAGGAGAGCGAGGGGAGAAGGGGGAGAGTGTTGTGAGATGAGAGGAGAGCGAGGGGAGAAGGGGGAGAGTGTTGTGAGATGAGAGGAGAGAGAGGGGAGAAGGGGGAGAGTGTTGTGAGATGAGAGGAGAGCGAGGGGAGAAGGGGGAGAGTGTTGTGAGATGAGAGGAGAGCGAGGGGAGAAGGGGGAGAGTGTTGTGAGATGAGAGGAGAGCGAGGGGAGAAGGGGGAGAGTGTTGTGAGATGAGAGGAGAGCGAGGGGAGAAGGGGGAGAGTGTTGTGAGATGAGAGGAGAGCGAGGGGAGAAGGGGGAGAGTGTTGTGAGATGAGAGGAGAGAGAGGGGAGAAGGGGGAGAGTGTTGTGAGATGAGAGGAGAGCGAGGGGAGAAGGGGGAGAGTGTTGTGAGATGAGAGGAGAGAGAGGGGAGAAGGGGGAGAGTGTTGTGAGATGAGAGGAGAGAGAGGGGAGAAGGGGGAGAGTGTTGTGAGATGAGAGGAGAGCGAGGGGAGAAGGGGGAGAGTGTTGTGAGATGAGAGGAGAGAGAGGGGAGAAGGGGGAGAGTGTTGTGAGATGAGAGGAGAGAGAGGGGAGAAGAGGGAGAGTGTTGTGAGATGAGAGGAGAGAGAGGGGAGAAGGGGGAGAGTGTTGTGAGATGAGAGGAGTGTTGAAAGAGATAATTGATACATTGAATAATGTATCTGGGCCCTGGGAGGGACAGGGAGGAGACGGTGGCCTAAGAACCGAGGGATGAAGGCGTGAGCCATTAGCTCATGATACCATGTTGAAAGAGATAATTGATACATTGAATAATGAGCCAAGAGGCCCTTTAGTACACACAATGAGCAAGAGAGAGGTGAGAGGGAAGCTTACCCTATTGGCCAAAATGTTGGCCACTGGGTGAGCTTGCTTGTGGCCCAAGCAACCACAAATGTGTGTTGGTTGGGATTGGTTGAGCTCAGGACCAATCCCAAGCAACCACAAAATGTTGGAGGGTACACTAAACAACCCCCCAATTTATAAATGTTCTACACATCTAATTCTAGCCTATGTATGTTGTATAAAATATGAAATTACAACAAGGAGAGCGAGGGGAGAAGGGGGAGAGTGTTGTGAGATGAGAGGAGAGAGAGGGGAGAAGGGGGAGAGGAATGGTATGAAGTGAGAAGAGAGGGGAGAGTGGAGAGGGGGAGGGGATGGGGTGAGTGGAGAGGAGGGAGCTGGCGTTTTGAGTACGGAGAGGGGAGAGAGGTGCAACAACTGTGGGTATTGAAGTGAGGTCACGAGAGACAGTGAAGCAGCCCCGTGTTCGCCCCATGGCATGGCATGGCATGGCATGTGACAGCAACGCACCTGTGTGCGTGCAGAGAGAAGGTGGGCGGAGCCCATGCTTGAATGGGCTGTGAATGCACCACCGTGTAGCTGCAAGGGGGGGATGAAGAGGGGGAAGAGGGGGGGATGAAGGGGGGGATGGAGAGAGGGAGGGAAGGGGGGGGAAGGGGGGGGAGGAAGGGGGGAAGGAAAGGAGGAGGACGGGGTTGAGGAAGGGGGGAGGAATGTGGGGAGGAAGGCGGAAGAGAAACAAAATATGTACGAGATAGGAGTGGGATTCGTGGGAAGGGATGGGGCAATACAGCCATGGTGAGTGCATGTGGACTTGGGCTACAGCCATGGTGAGTGCATGTTGACTTGGGCAATACAGCCATGGTGAGTGCATGTTGACTTGGGCAATACAGCCATGGTGAGTGCATGTTGACTTGGGCAATACAGCCATGGTGAGTGCATGTTGACTTGGGCAATACAGCCATGGTGAGTGCATGTTGACTTGGGCAATACAACCATGGTGAGTGCATGTTGACTTGGGCAATACAGCCATGGTGAGTGCATGTTGACTTGGGCAATACAGCCATGGTGAGTGCATGTTGACTTGGGCAATACAGCCATGGTGAGTGCATGTTGACTTGGGCAATACAGCCATGGTGAGTGCATGTTGACTTGGGCAATACAGCCATGGTGAGTGCATGTTGACTTGGGCAATACAGCCATGGTGAGTGCATGTTGACTTGGGCATCCCACGCGTTTGGCCTCGCGGAATGCGATGATTCACAACCCTTTAAAGCAGCTGGATCAACCCCGTCTCTCCTCGTCTCCCCCTAGCCCTCTCCGCCCCTCCACCTCCCTTCTTAACCCCGCCCCGCATAGGACATGCCTTCCCAGCTTCTCCCACCACCCCGCCTCACTTGAAGACCCCCCTCCTTAGAGCTGCCGCAAACAACCCCCCCCTCCTCCCCCCCCAACCCTTCCCGCCTCACTTGGAGAACCCCCCATCGAAGGCGGTGCGCGCGTTGGAGCGCAGGAGGAGGGAGGTGGCGGAGAAGAGGAGGTGCAGCGAGAGGGTGTAGCGGCCGGGCAGGGGCAGCTGGACGCACACCTGGTGGAAGGGGAGGGAGAGGTGGCGATGGGCGGGGATGCCATGGGATGGGAGGGGATGGGAGGATGGGAGGGGATGGGAGAGAATGGGAAGGGGTTGGGGGGGGACAGGAAGGAATGGGAAATGGGAGGGGATGGGAGGGATTGGGAGGGGATGGGAGGGATTGGGAGGGGGTGGGAGGGGATGGGAGGGGGTGGGAGGGGATGGGGTGAGGCGAAACTGGATGGGCGCGAGATGCGGAAAGAGGCAGGCAGGGCGAGATGGAAGCGCAGGTGCAAGGGAGTAGAGGCATGTGAGAGGAGGAGAGAGACGCAGCAGGCACAGACGGCGAGTGCGAGGATGGGTGCGCGATGAGCTGTGTGGAGCGATGAGCTGTGTGGCGCGATGAGCTGTGTGGCGGGCAAAGCAGTGGATGGGAAATGGTTGAGTAGCCTGGGTGTGATGGCATGGCGGAGAGGGTGGTGTCGTCCCATGGGAAGGGAAGCCTGGGTGGGAGGGCTGCGAGGGTATTCACCTGGTGGGACGAGTTGCCAGGGTGGTACGTCACCCGCGCTGCCATGCGCACATCCGCACCCCCTCCTTCCTCCCCCTGTCCTCCCTCCCCCCCCTCTCCCCTCTGCTCCCACTCTTCCAGCAGCACGGCCGCCCGCCCAGCGGCTGCCCTCGCCTGGCCGCTCACAGCCACCGCCACCTCCGTCACGCGCGCACTGCTCTGCACCGGCACATCCGCGCTGCCCCCACTGATGTTGCTGACACTACCCTCCTGGGCATCAGTGCGGCTGTCGGTGCTCCCCTGGCGGCGCTGCAGCGCAATGAGGGCCACCAGGAACGCGCTCTGCCTGGCGGGGGACAGGAAAGACTATGTAGTCAGGTTTTTAATGGGGGCGACACGGAAGGGCAGAGTGAGGGCAGGAGCAACAAGGACAGGAACGGCCGGAGGCACGAAAGAGTGGATGATGATTGGTGGGTGCAGAGGGATGGAATGGGAAGGAGACAGACACACGAGCACAGCGAGATGCATGAGCACAGCGAGATGCATGAGCACAGCGAGATGCATGAGCACAGCGAGATGCATGCACGCAGCCGTTGTCAAATGCACTCATTCGCTCAATTGCAGCAACCTCATTGGCAGCAGCGGCCTACCTGCACCCGTTGTCAAATGCACTCCCATTGGCATCCAGTGCTGCACGCCGCACACACAGGGGGGAGCAGGACACGTTGAAAGGCACGAGCGCTCAAGATCAGAGCATCACCCACCCCATCCCACCACAGCCCCCACCGGCCACACATAGCCCCCTCTGGCCACACATAGCCCCCTCTGGCCACACATAGCCCCCTCTGGCCACACATAGCCCCCACTGGCCCCCCACTGGCCACACATAGCCCCCTCCGCTCCTCCCATACTGCCCGCAGCACCTCCGCTCCTCCTCTCACAACATGGCGTAGCATGGCAACATGGCGTAGCATGGCAACATGGCGTGGCATGGCAACATGGCGTAGCATGGCAACATGGCGTAGCATGGCAACATGGCGTAGCATGGCAACATGGCGTAGCATGGCAACATGCCGCACGCTGCATGACTCGCTTCTCCACCATGTCAACTTAGCCCCCCTCCCCCTTCCCCCCCCCCCTCCCCCTTCCCCCTCCCTTCCCCTCTCCCCCCTCCCCGCTCCCCCTTCTCCCATTCCCCTCCCCCCTCCCTCCTCCTCCCTCCCCCCTCTCCCCTCTCACCCTCTCCCCTCTCACCCTCTCCCCTCTCACCCTCTCCCCTCCCCCCTCTCCCCTCTCACCCTCTCCCCTCTCACCCTCTCCCCTCTCACCCTCTCCCCTCTCACCCTCTCCCCTCTCCCCTCTCCCCCCTCCCCTCTCACCCTCTTACCCCCCCCCCCTCCTCACCTCACCTCGCACCGTGAAGCACACCTCCTCGTTCACCCCCGCCTCCGCCACGCCCCCCTGCCCGCCCTCCACGCCCTTCCCCTCCGCTTTCCCCTCCCACCCCCCCTCCACCTGCACGCGTCCAAAGGCCGCGTGTTCCTCCGCCTGCCGTGCGCGCACGTCCTCCTCTGTCAGCGCAGCGCCCTCGCATGCTGCTTGCTCCGCCGCCTCTGATGAGCCCCCGGCCTCGCTGCCGTTACTGCCAGCGGACATGCTGCAGTTTGAAGCATCAACGGTTGGGATCGCGCCATCGAGGGCCCCAACGGCTGTGCTCGCGCCTTCTGTAACCCCAACGGCTGCACCACCTACAGCTGCAGGGTCTGCTGGTTGATCACCCCTACCCGCAGCACCCGCTGACTCCTCCTTAATCAACGGGCCTTGCTGCTCCACTAGCCTCCCCGCGCCTCCTGCTGCACCCGCCTCTCCCCCGCTCGACCCCGCACCACGCTGCTCCGACGTCGCGGCAGCAGCTTCGGATTGAAGAGTACTCGAGGCGGCGGCACTGTCGGCCCATCCTCCCTCGCCCTCCCCTATGGCCACCTCTCCCGCGCGTCCCACCACCACACGCGCTGCCACGCCCGCCTGAGAGGCGTACAGCGCGCAGCCCCACGGGACGAGCGCCGACCATGCCTGGCCGGGCGCGGCTGCGGGGAAGCATGGGGGAGAGACGGGAGGCTTTACGGGAGGTATAGGGGAATGGCACAGCACGCCGCATCGCCACGCTGTACCTGCACTCATTCTGTCACCAGGTGATGAACGCACGACACCTTGACGAGCGTACGATACCTTGGCGACGAGCGTACGATACCTTGGCGACGAGCGTACGATACCTTGGCGACGAGCGTACGATACCTTGGCGACTAATGTAGGATCGCAGCAGCAGCAGGGCGAGCGCGAGGGCGAGCAGCGCCTGCGTGCTGACGAACGCTCCGGAGGTACCATGAGCGCGGCGAGCTGCGGGGAATGACGCGCGGAACGATCGGGGGAAAGGGTGGGTGGGCACGGGAGAGGCACGGGAGGGAAGCGAACAAGAGAGGCGGGGAAACGGGCAGTGGGGCCGCGACAACACGATGCCGCGAATGTGAGCGAGACGGGTGTGTTCGACCCCGTACTGGAAAATGGAACGAGAGCGGTTGGGTAGGACTAAGCGGAGCACGTACCGCGAGCCATGCGCGCGCACCATCAGGTGCTCCGCTGTCAACGGGAAGCGAGTCGCAACGGCGAGCGTGTTAAAATAGGCTATCAACCCCTACCAGGTGGGCGCAGGTCCGACGCAAGCAGAGACTTTATCGCAAAACTAAGAATCACGGAAAACACTGTAGTAGGCCCGCCAGAAAGCAGTTGGGAGGCATGCTGAACCGAAAATTTGTGTTTTGGCTTCGGTGTTTCCCTAAACAAAAGGGGATTTTGCGACAAATCGCAGCCGCACATCTCGAGTGGTCGAGAGACAGCGAGGACGAAGGAACCCAACTGTCGTCTGCTGCGTCGTAACCACGCCAACGAACCAAGAAGTCGATGGAAGAGACACCCCCCTGGAGACGGCGACGGTGCATGAGGATGCGCTGGATCTGGTAGTCGGGCTCGTCGGTGTCAACTGCTACCGGCAGCGGAGTGCGATCACGGCCCGAGAAGGTGGCGTTGGGATCGGTGTAAGGACGAAGAAGCGACACGTGGAATGACGGGTGCATGCGGAAATGAGCGGGAAGGCGGAGGCGGTATGCGACTGGACCTAGTGCGCGCTCAATGACGAATGGACCAATGAAACGTGGGCGGAGCTTGCTATCCTGTGGCAGTCGGAGGTTGCGGCTATCCAAAAGGACACGGTCGCCGACTGCGAACGACACCTCACGACGACTGCGGTTGGTGGTGCGTGCCATGCGTGCATTTGCAAGCTCAAGGTGCTTCTTGACGTGATCATGAATGAAGGTGAGGTGCTGATGGAAGTTGTCCGCACGAGGTACTGTGGGTGTGAGATCGACACGAGTGGGGACATTGGGGTGCTGACCGTACTGTGCGAAAAACGGTGACATGCCTGCGGACGGGTGATGGGTGTTGTTGTAGGCGAACCCGGCCATGCTCAGCTTCTTCCCATGCGGCTGCGTCGTGCATCGTGATGCTGCGAAGAATCTGCTCCAAGGTCTGGTTCACACGTTCGGTCTGTCCGTCTGTCTCTGGATGGTACGCAGACGACATGGCTAAGCGAGTCCCAAACAGTGCGAAAAGCTGCTTCCAGAACTTCGAAGTGAAACGAGGGTCGCGGTCGGAAATGATGGAATCTGGAACCCCGTGCAGTCGGACTACGTTATCTACGAACAGCGTCGCGGCTTCCTCTGCTGTGACCTTGCCGTGCGTGGGGATGAAGTGCGCTGCTCGAGAGAACTTATCCACTACCACGAAGATGGCGTCGTGACCCCTAACTGTGCGCGGTAAAGCCATGATGAAATCTATGGTAACTACCTGCCAAGGGCGGTCGGGTGGTGGAATCGGCTGCAAAAGTCCTGCCTTGCGCTGGCGAGAGGACTTCGTACGCTGACACGTGTCGCACGAGCGAATGTAATCCTCTACGTCTGCTGCAAGCCATGGCTAGAAATATGTGCGACTAAGCGTCTTAGCCGTCTTATCTGCTCCGAAGTGACCCGCGCTAACTACATCGTGCGCCTCTGAAAGAAGAAGCTGTCGAAGAGGGCGGTAGGCGGGAACCCAAATCCGTGCTGTCCCCTTCCGAATGTAGACACTACCCTGCACCTCTGCTCCTACGGGCAGCTGCGGTGTGAAGTCGGGATCTACTGTGTAACCGTGCTCGAAGAGTGCTGTGAGAAGTGGATGGCCGGCAGTGACTGTGAGGCTGGCGAGCTGGCAACTAGGGCGAGTGAGTGGATCGGCTGGGTTGCGCACGCCTGGCTTGTACTCTATCATGTAGTGGAAACTCCCCTCCATGAACTCCATCCATCTAGCCTGGCGACGACTCAGCTGCGGCTGCGACTTGAGGAAGCGAAGCGAGCAATGGTCCGTGCGTATAACACTATCTGCCCCCTCTAGGTAGCACCTCCACGCCTTATACGCATGGATGATCGCGAGTGCCTCCTTGTCGTGAATCGGATAGTTCAGCTCGCCCCCCCTTAGCTTACACGACTCGTACGCGATCGGCTGCAACCCGCGTCCCTGGTCCTGAAGAAGCACTGCTCCTATGGCCTGATCTGAAGCGTCGGTCACTACAACGTACGGACGAGTAGGGTCGGGATACGACAGTGTCGGTGAAGACGTGAGCGACTGCTTCATCTGCTCGAATGCCTGCTGCTGCGCTGGACCCCAAACATACTCTACGCCCTTCCGAAGTAGGTCGGTGAGTGGACTGGCGATGGAAGCGTAACCCTGAACAAAACGTCGGTAGTAATTCGTGAATCCGAGAAAGCTCTGCAGTTCCTTGACTGAGGTCGGAGCTACCCAATCCTGTACGGCTGCGATCTTCTTCGGGTCAGTCATAATGCCACTAGCGGATACGACGTGTCCTAGGAACTCGACTTCGGGGAGGAAGAACTCGCACTTCGACTGCTTCGCATACAACTGCTCCCTCCTCAAGACCTCGAAGACCTTCTGCAAGTGCTGCACGTGCTCCTCTTTCGTCTTGGAGAAGATGAGGATGTCGTCTAGGTAGACTACTACGAACGAACCTAGGAACTCGGAGAGGGCGGTGTTCATGAGCGTCTGAAACGTCGCTGGGGCGTTGGTCAAACCGAATGGTAGAACTCGGAACTCGTACAACCCCTGCTTCGTACGAAACGCCGTCTTGTCCTGATCCTCCGGAACTACTCGAATCTGGTGGTATCCTGAACGAAGGTCGATCTTTGAGAAGACTCTAGCGCCCTGCACTGCATCTAGGAGATCATCTACTCTCGGCACTGGGAATCTGTTCTTGACGGTGGCGGCGTTCAGTGCGCGGTAATCTATGCACATCCGTAACCCTAAGTCTTTCTTAGGTGCGAAAAGGATCGGTGCTGCCCAAGGCGATCTAGATGGCTGTATGAAACCCTGCGCGAGAAAGTGCCTAACCTGCTGCGGCATCTCCTCTGTCTCTGCTGGACTCAACCTCCACTGCGGCTTCGCTACTGGCCTGCTCTCCGGCTCCAACTCTATTCGATGGTCTACTGCTCGGCTGGGAGGTAACCCTGGGGGCAACTCGTCGAGGAAGACGTCTGCGAACTCTGCTAACAGTGCACTCACCTCAGCAGGAAGCGTCGTCTTCTCACCAACTGCTGCACTCCCTCCTTTCCCCTCCTCAGCTTCCACCTCCTCAAGGAAAACCGCGAAGATCCGCGCCGCACGCTTCACCAGCTGCCGCACACGAACAGCATTGATGATGGCTGTGGAGGATGTGGCCGCATCGCTCCACTGTGGCAGCTCCCGGAACTCCCCGTCTACCTTGACGCTGCAGCTTCCCTGAGCCCAATCAAGCTGAGTATTAACCGTCCGCAACCAATCTCTACCGAAGATGAAGTCGTAACCGTCCAGCGTCGCAGAGTCGAAATCACGCCTAACCGTGATTGGTCCTAACACCACGCGCAACTTGCGAATGACTGGTCCTATGTGAAGCGGCATCCCATCTACCATACGCGCGTCCTTGAAGTTGACGGCCGAATCTGCTTCGAGATGGAGACGAGAAACTAGCGATGAAGAGACGAACGAGTGGCTAGCTCCGCTATCTACGAGAATCTTAACTGGAACTCTACGAAGCTTCCCTAGAAGCACGACTGGACGATCAACAGTGCCTACCTCGTTCGGCGTAGATGACTGCTCTAAGGCCGTCTCCTCTACGTTGGTAGACTTGGCAGGTTCGGAAGCGCTCACACCAGCTAGCGACCCGCTATCTACTGGCGGTTTCCGTTTCCCTGCTGCCGCTCCTTAAGCTGTGGGCAGTCCCGCTTCATGTGTCCCGGCTTTTTGCAGTAGTGACAGTTCCCCCTAAATCCCGTTTTCTGTGAGCCGTCACTGTTAACTGCACCAATCTCCATGGGTGACGGTCCGTCCCTCGAGCGAGAATCGTTGATCGGTTCGTATCCCCTATCGCAATCGTCACGACCCCGTCGGCTTCGTACTGCGTTGACGCGTTCTGCTGCTGCGACTACCGACTCGAAGGTGGACAACCCGTGAATCGCTATGATCTCCGCTATGTCCGGCTTCAACCCTTCGAGGTAGCGATCGCGCATCTCTGCTTCCATGATATCGTCTATCTCGTTGCAGATGCTCAAGAACCGTCGTGTGTACTCCTGGACGTTTCCTATCTGACGGAAATGACGCAGACGCTTCCTAGCAGCTTCAGAGGCATTCACCAAGTCGAATCTACTTTTCAGCGCCGCTTCAAATCCTTCCCATGTCGTTGGAACCGTGGTAACACCCAAAGCTAAACTCCCTAAGCTCGAAGTTGCAGCTGCATGCCCCTCGCCCTGTTGATGCATGTCTAACTGAACCCTCCTTAAAGCAGTTTGCGTGAGTTGGCGCCACCACTCCAAGGCCGGGCCCCTCAGCAGCGTAACGTAGTACTCGATCCGCTGCTGCGCGTCCGCCTCTTGCACCCCGCTCGCGGCGAAGTAATTGTTGAGCATGAAGATCCACGTCTGCACGTTCGCGTCGCGTTGACTTGGGTCGAACGGCTCGGGTTTCTGCGGCTTGAGCGCGCTTCGACGTTTCGGCAGCACTTCCGCGCCAGTCGACGTGTTGGGTGCAGGAGATGGTGCGGCATGACCATGAGAAATTGACGCGAGTTCACGAAGCTGTTGCATTTCAGCCCGTACCTGACGATTTTCCAGTGTCAACGTTTCGAGTTGGCGCATGAGCTGAGCAAGCGTGTTGCCCATGTCGTTGGGGAGAGCGGTCATGGTTTCATCCATGTCGGCTCGACGACTCCAAGTCTGCAAGTCGGCACCGCGGGACGATGACGTCGTAGTCTCGTCGTCGACGGTCGCTCGTTGGAAGTCGCTCCCAGCGAAGGCTCTTGATACCAAGTGTTAGGCCCCTTGGCCTAAATCCGCTAAAGAATAGCGGGGTCGACGAAGTCGAGGATGAAAACGCGGCGGAAGACTTTGGCGAAAGAACTATTGGCGAAATAGTCGAAGAAGTTATTCAGTAATTGAAGAGTTGAATGAGAATTGGTTGATATGAGGGAATACAAGCAAGGTTGATATAGCA